TTTTTCTAAATATAATGATCTGTGGCAGCTTTTGTATGCTACAAGCAATTGCATCCTTTTGCTAAATGTTTGACTCTGTAATTTCAGCATTGAAATATATCCTACAGAAATGTAAAACAAAATTGCTAGTTAGCAAAAAAAATGCATTACAGCTAAATCCATGTACTTAAAACTACAAATTGTAATATGTTGCCTACTTTTTATTATTAATTAAATATTTTTTATTATAGGAGGGCACAGTTGTGAAAATGCTGAAATGTAAGAATGTTATTATTTTTCCCTTACAATTCTGGTGTAGCCTAATTTAATCCTATGAAAGTTAATTTGTTTGTATAAAGCTAGTTCTTAAACTCATTATACTCTCTGTGGGGAGTTTTTCTGGCATAAAAGTTGCATGATTGAGTCTATATTTTGTACATTTCCTCTGTAAGATGCCCAATATTAACAATACGTTTGCAAGGGATAAAATGTCTTTATAATCTACAAGTCGATTTACCTGGTGTTGCTTGGGTCTTTAACTTAACTAAGTTTTCTTTTTCTTCATTTAAATCATTGGGGCAGGGCATGAAAGGTTCAATATGCAGACTGCTGTGGGGAGAGAGGACAACCCCAGCTCTCTCTCACAGCAGCAGCTGAGGACCAGGTGAAGCACTGCTCTGTTTGTTCCCCTGGCTGGGGGACAAACTGACACACAAACATACAAACTCTCTATAATATGTAATAGATAACTGTCCTTTTCTCCACAACTTCCCCCTGTTGGCTCAATGGGATTATAGCTGTCCTTGGCCCATTGCTTTAAGTTATGATCCCTTACTCTGACCTTTCTTTAAGTAAAGAGAAGAGGAAGCGGCATACCAAATGTGGTAGCCCTGGCTCTTACCGTTTAGAAGGAGTTCCTGAACAAACGGACTTATGGGCTGACTGACAGACAGATGCACATTTCTAAAATATATAGTAACTAAGAAGGTTACTGAACTAGTACAGGTTGAACCTCCCTGGTCCAGCACCCTTGGGACCTGAGTGGTCCTGAACAAGGGAATTTGCTGGACCAGGGGAGATCAGGCATCCAGGCTCTTCTGGGGCGCCTCTCCTGTCTGTTGCCCTGGGAAACCTGGAGGCCTGACCGCCTATGGCCCACCTGCCTTACTCTGCTGCCCTTGGGATTTCCCAGCCCCGCATGGGGCAGCAGCTGCTCTCGGGGTTCCCCAGTCCTGTGTGGGGTGGCAGCTGCTCCCAAGGTTCCCCCCACCCCCAGACCTACATGAGGTGGCAGCTGCTCCCAGGACTCCCTGACACCAGCCACCTGGCTCCTGCGGTGACTACTTTCTTCCACTATTTGATCTGAGGAAGTGGGTCTGGCCCACGAAAGCTCATCATCTAATAAACCATCTTGTTAGTCTTTAAAGTGCTACATTGTCCTGCATTTTGCTTCAACTACCCCAGGCTAACACGGCTACATTTCTATCACCAATCTGGAGGGGAGCTAGAGCGTTAGTGTGGGAACCTTGAGTCTCGAGGGCCACACTCACGTGAGCTGGGGTATTAGGTTCCTCACCCCTGCTTTAAAAACAAAACCTCTTACTCTTAAAAATCGATCCCCGTATCTCTGGTCGGACCACCTTCACGCAGGTCCTCCGGGATGGAAAACTGCAGCAAACTGTATGAACAGAAACAAACAGAAGCCCCAATCGCAGCTGGAGGTGGGGCGAGGCTGCCCCAGCAGGGACACAACGGGGCAGCTCCATGTCACTGACCCTGCAGGCTGCTACCAACCAGACCAGCTCCGCTTCCAGCCACTCAACCTCTGCAGCCCTGGCTTTCTGATCTAGCAACACCTGTCGCCGTGCCAGACCATGGATGTTGCAGGGCCACAGCTTCCCAGTCAAGAGGGTCAACCAGTATAATCATTATTGATACAAAGATTTAGAAGTGTTATTGGTCCTTGGTCTTCCACTAGCTAACGTTTTTATTGATAACCTGGAAGATCGCTTAAGGTCATTACTGCTGATGTTTACAGTTGACCCAAATATTAGAGTGGTATATAACAAAGAGGACAAATCACTGATACAGAGCAACCTGGTTTACTTGGCAAATGGCACAAGCCAATCAAATGCATTTTAATACAACCAAATGTAGAATCATGCATCCAGGGGAAAAAAGTGCAGGCCATACTAAACGGGATAGGGAACTCTGTCCTGGGAAGCAATGATTCTACAGAAAACTTGGAGTGATGGTGGCTAATCAGCTGTGTGATACTGTGATCAAATGCATTATTATAGTCCTAGATTTATAAACAGGGTAATCTAGTACAGAAATACAAATATATTTGTATTGGTCACTAGTGTGACCATTATTGGACTGCTGTGTACATTTGTGGTGCCCACAAATGTTCGAAGGATGATGAAAAATTGAAGAGAGCTCAGAAATAAGCCATGAAAATGTGCGACTGACTGCAGGAGCTCAGTTTATTTAGCTTAACAAAGTGAAGGCTAAGAGGTTCCTGATCAGTCTTGAGCAGTGGTTCTCAAACTTTTTGGCCCATGACACACCTGACTTAATGCAAACATTTCTGTGGACCACCTGTTGCTAATGGAAATATACAGTTAATTACATAATTATGCCCAAACCATTTTATTAGTGCTGTAGCTAGAGAGAATGGTTTAATTTAATCAGTAAGAAAGGAAATATTAAATTATTAAACAGATTATGTGCTTCAACTTTCTCATGTTCATTAATCAAAGTTAATTTTAAATAAAGTAAAATATTAATTTATGTCCAACACAAAACCCTTCAATACTGTCTTTATTTATGGCAGGAATGGGAAACCTTTTTTGGATTGAGGGCCACTGACCCACAGAAAAATCAGTTGGGGACCACACAAGTGAGAAGCAAAAAAAACCCTCTATAATCTTTGCATTATTCTATTATATGTTAATAATGCAGAGGTTTTGAAGTCTGGAGTAGTTTCATCACAACTAATTGTTAGAGTCTGTAATGTAAATATTGTACCCAGAGTTTTAATATTAAGTAGGTAGTTTTTTGGAAATGTGTGAAGAGCACAGTTAACCTCATATTTCTTATTGCTGAACACTTGCTAATCAAAATATTTTCAGAAGAATACAGTCTGATAGAACGTGTGGCCTATTGTGTTCCTTTAGAGCAGAAAGCATTTACTTTTATTTTTCCAATACATGTGCTCACATATGAAGGTGCAATATACACCAGGATAAGTACTTCATCTTACCAAAATGGCTGTTTTAGCAGCATGCCTTGATGATTTTAGTGGTGTCAATAATATTCATGAAGATTTTAGTGAACACATATGTGTGGGTTCTCTTGTCTGATTCATTTGTTCTTACTGTTTGCTTACATTCCACATTCATGATAAGGCTCTGTGATTGCCAATGGTGACTGTACCGTGGAGCCTAGTTACACTGAGCTCTAATACAATTGCCCTCTGTATAGCAACGCTGCTTTATAACATGTAAAGTGTTTGGATTCCAAAGGTCAGTGTTCATAAAGCATGTGTAGTTTGTTTCATGGTTTGCTTCCTTTAACACAGTGAGCAAAAGGCAATAATCATAATCCAATAATAGAGAGATAGTATGTTAACAATGTCCATAGTACATGTTTCTTGTGCTGATATTTACGTATGGGTCACTGAACTGTGATCATCCTGTATCAGTACAAGCACATGATTGCTCTCAACGTTTAGTTTGAAATAAATCACAATATTAACTTAAATAGTTAATATGTGTCCTTCAATAGTGGCACCTATTTAACAGAAGTTTCAAATCATTAAAAGAATTAAATTTACAAATAGATACACTCATTAGTTATGCTAAGGTATTGCATAAAATACTGTTTAAAGGTATGTTAACATTTTACGGCGTGTGTACAAACAAAAGATATTTCAACACTTTTCTATTCTATAAAAGCTATTAATGAAAGCAGTGTTTTGAAAGTCAGCTTTGTGTTAAAAAAAAGACAGTCTACAATTTTCAAACTTGGCTGTATTAATAAGTGGCCTGATTGTCAAAAGTGGTTGGTATGTTCAATCAGTGAGAGCAACTGGTGCTCGGAGTCTCTGAAAATCAGTACTCTTAGCTACCTAACTTTGGCCTTGCAATTTGGAAACTTTGCCCTTAGTTTCTAGGAATAACTTTGTGACAACAAATCTAACATACACCAAAAGTTATTTTACACTACTAATTTTATTCATAACTGTGCGGTATAAATTTTATAACAGTTTAGAAAAGAAGCTAACAAGAAGCACAACCTTTTCTAGAATGTCCTGTGCTTTCATATTCCAATATTCTAAGGCTTTGAAAAGAGCTCTATGGGACTATTAATAAAATATAATACATTTGGTAACTATGTTATGCATACTGTATGTTTCATTTGGAGCTATTAAAATTTATAGAAATTATGTTTCTTTTTTTCACCCCTTGCCCTTTGATCTAATAGTGAAGTCATAATCTTACCTGGGCCCATTTCAGTTACTATTAGTGTAATGATGCAAATACTTTATAACTGTTGTACTAGGTCAAAGTGGGAAAAAATTGATTATTTAATCATGTTGCAGCATGCAGTACATCCTTCTAACTATAAGCAATAAAGATTAGGAGATAGCCCGTGAAAATTAAATAGAAGTTTTCTCCATTGGATGTGCTTACATTTACATAGAGGTTTAAATTTTTCATGGGTATGACAGCAAGGAATTAGATCAACTGCTGTCAGTTCTAATATATACTTGAAACCTTATGTTCCAAGGTGCTGAAAGAACATACTCTTCATAAAAATGTGTGTCAAAATGCAAGTCTTCCCCCTGTATATATAAAACTAATTAACTGTAGAAAAATAATTTAAGAAGGTGCTCCTAAAATTTGTCAGGTGGAATATTATGGTGCCTATTATTGAAAGTATCATTTTTTCTACATTATCATCCATTGTGTTATATGGAAGTACAAAAAATGAGCCTGATTTGTTCTCCTTTGTAGAGCCAGGCCGAGGCCCACTACAAAGGAAGTAAACATGCCAAGAAGGTCAAAGCACTAGAGGCAACGAAAAATAAACCAAAAGCTGGTTCTTCCAAGGACAGCGCAAAGGCTAACACAAGCTACTCCACCACGCCAGTCACAGCCAACATCTCTGACAAATCAGGTCAATGACAATTTTTGTTCTCTACATTCTTTGCTTTTCCTTTTTTGTGCTTGTGTAAGGGTCTGACTGAGTGTTAGTCATCTGTGACTTGTTTTTGTAAACTGTTAATATGCTTTGCTCTACAGGAACGGTTGTATTTAATATTCAGTACCGAAGCATCCTTAACATATGTGAAACATTGTGTACATCACAGTGCTAAGCCTTAATTTCAAATAACATTTATAAATCTCTTGTATGGAATTTAGATTAATAAAATGGGGACTGTGCTGTCCAAGTGCCATCTAAACTTGTGATTGGAACCGATCTAACCTAGTGACATTCAGCTTCCATTAAAAGTCATTGTGTGTCGCTTGAGGGCAAAAGTCATTTCCCAGATACTCCCTTTCTGAAAAGGGGAGCCACGCTTTAACCAAATGAGAATAATTTTTGCTACCAAAAAAACCAACCTGTCCTTAAACAAATACATTTTTACCCATGTCGCATATTTTTTGCTGGGCTTCAGCAACTTTGCTTGAGCTTCCACATTATTTGTTCTGTTGTTAGCTCTGGTGATCTCAGAAGGATTGTTGACCCTAATGTGTGTGAGTTACTGTTTTAGTTTTGCTCCGTTCCCTCTGTGATGTGTTACTGAATGAAGCAGAAATGTTTCCTGTACTTTCTGGTATGGTCTGAAATACTATCATCTGTATCCAATAGAAAGAAGCCACTATGGGTTTCCCAAGAGATGAAATGCAATAAACTTTTTCTGAGATGTTTGCTGCTTCCTTCATAACTACTGTTTATCACCCTTTTCCCAGGAGCTGAACTTTGTCACAACTGCCAGAAAGAGAATGACATTAGAAAATATTTTGCTATGGAAGTGGTTTATTCCCATGCTAATTGCCATTTAGGACTCCTTCATGCTACACATTTAAAACTCTCTTGGATTGGGCCTTTTGCCTAAAAAGATGATGCAGTTCCGTTTGGCTTACCTAATCCATCTACACTTTAGATTTTATAAAACAACTAGGGGGCTGCACCCCATGCTCACTATGCTCACCAACCCCCC